TGCTGGACTCGGTCGAGACCAACGAGAACATTTGGCGAGTCCAATGACCAAGTCCGAGACAAGTCTGAGTGCAAACACCAACGAGTCCGAAACAAGTCCGAGACCATAGAAAAATGTCTCGAATCCGGACTGGAGAGACCGGACTCCGAGACCGGACTCGAGTACTACAGCCCTACTGGACCCCCTGCAGTTTGCCTACAGAGCAAACAGGTCAACATGGGACTGCATTACATCCTGCAACATCTAGACAGACCAGGGACTTACGTATGTGAGGATCCTGTTTGTGGACTTCAGCTCGGCGTTTAACACTGTCATCCCAAACCTCCTCCTGCCCAAATTAACTCAGCTCTCCGTGGCCACCTCCGTCGGTCAGCGGATCACCAGCTTCCTGACAGACAGGCAGCAGCTAGTGAGGCTGGGAAAATTCTCATCCAGCACCCCTATGATTAGCACTGGTGCCCCCCAGGGTTGCGTCTTCTCCTCACTGCTCTTCTCGCTCTACACAAATGACTGCACATCTAAAGACTCTTCTGTCAAGCTTCTGAAGTTTACAGATGACACCAAACTCATCGGCCTCATTCAGGACAGTGACGAGTCTGCTTACAGTCAGGAGGTTAAAGAGCTGGCTGTCTGGTGCAGTCTTATCAACCTGGAATTTAACACACTCAAAACTGTGGAAATGATCAGATGACTTCAAGAGAAACCCCCCTGCTCTCCCTCCACTCACCATCATGAACAGCACTGTTAACGACAGTGGAGACATTCAGGTTCCTGGGCATCACAATCTCTCAGGACCTGAAGTGGGACACTCACATAGACTCCATTGTTAAAAAAGCCCAGCAGAGGTTGTACTTCCTTCGCCAGCTGAGGAAGTTCAACCTGCCACAAGAGCTGCTGAAACAGTTCTACTCCACCATCATTGAATCCGTCCTCTGCACTTCTATAACTGTCTGGTTCAGTTCAGCTACCAAATCTGGCCTCAGAAGACTACAGAGGATCGTCCGAACTGCCTCGCGAATCACTGGTACAACCCTCCCTTCTCTCCAAGAACTGTACTCATCCAGAGTGAGCAAAGGGGCTAGCAAAATCACTCTGGACCCCTCACATCTAGCACACTCCCTCTTTGAACGGTTGCCATCTGGTCGACGCTACAGAGCACTGAGCATCAGAACGACCAGACACAGGAACAGTTTCTTTCCTCAGACAATCCAGCTCATGAACACTTAACAGTAATCGTGGAACACACAACACTACTATATATTATTTATTTAACACACATACTTATTTACATTTTAAATTTGCACATATCATACCTGTACATACAAAATTGTCTATATTATATATTGTTTTTGCTTTTTTGTACATTGTCTATTTTGTCTATTTTTATATTATTCTTTTTATTATCTGTGTCCTGTCTTGTCAGTGTCATTCTGTTGCACTGTGAAGCTTCTGTCACTAAAACAAATTCCTTGTATGTGTAAATATACCTGGCCATAAAGCTCATTCTGATTCTTCTGATTCTGAATAGCAATCAGAGTAGGCGAGGAGTAAGCTTTGAGGCCACAGTGACACCTTGTGGTGCTCAAACGAAGTACAAAAAGTGTAAGCCAACATGACACACCAGTTGATAGTGTGGGATGAATTATTTAGATGGGCAATATGGCCAAAATCTTATTTAAATTTCAAGTCGGGGATTGTTGCGGCTGAAAAGCGTGCAATCCGTGATCGAGTGCATTTGCTGAAGCTCCCGAAAGCCTGCAATAGGTTTCTTATGCGCTGTTTTTTAGGTTTCACTTTCAACACATACAACGCATGTTTCAAAGATTCGGGATAGAAGGAGGCATCAGCTACTGTAGAAGATTTGTCGCCTAGCGCCACTTCCCGTAATGGGTTCTCTTGGTGTAGACATGGCTTTAGATACGGATTAATCGGCTGATTAATCACACATCTTAGGCTGGAAATATCCAGAATTAGATCAAACAAAAGGTATCCATGGTTCCGTTCTGGAGCTAGTGAAACACACACGCCATGCATTATAGCCTAAAACATGTTTAATATTCACGACCGATACCAACGATTGTATGGTGTGGAGATGCGTTCACTGTCAAATATCATTCAGCATTCATTTTGAAATTTTGTCAAATATTTTTTCTTGATTACAAGAAAAAAATATATATTGTTCTTCCCAGCCAACATGTATATGTGGGCCCCACATGGTTTATACTTGGGCCACATGGGTACCAAGTGGGCATGGTCCCAAAATGGGCATCTTATCTGGGGCCCACTTAGGTCTACCTGGCAAAACCAGGTGGGCTTCCCATGTGGGGCCTAGTTGGGTCACTAATGGGAAATGAGGGCATGGGCTCAAAATGGGCAACACATATGGCCCCCATATGGGTTTCACATATGGGTCAGACATGGGCAAACACAATCAGTCCCATATAGGCTGCCTGCACAGGCCCAACGTATAACCCACATGGGTACCATCTGTGTGGGTTCTGAATGGGAAAACACAAATGGGCCCCATATGGGTTTCACATATGGGTCAGACATGGGCAAACACATTCAGTCCTATATAGGCTGCCTGCATGGGCCCAAGGTAGAACCCACATGGGTGATCTCTATGTGTGTATATATATATATATATATATATATATATATATATATATATATATATATATATATATATATATATCTGTATATATATGTCTTCTGATGCAAAAGTCTCTAAAGCCACTTCTATCAAAAATGAGATAATGATGCTGAGTGAATGCTCTCTGTGCATAATACACGTTCATCAAATACTTTCACCTCAAACCCGCTAAATCCCAGCCTCAGCCCAATCAGAATTACCGATACTTAGGTAGAAACCTACACAGGAGCCTAACAAAAAAGTTAATTTTAAAGAAATAAGTCTGACGGACTTCATATACTTCATATCAGTTCTGTTTAGAACCCTATTATATTGAAGAACCATTTTTACGCAGAAATATTTTTTCGTGTTAGAGTTTAGAGATCTTTATTCGCAACTTTTTGTTTTTCAAATCTTAAAGGGATGGTTCACCCAAAAATGAAAATTACCCCATGATTTACGTACCCTCAATCCATTCTTACTTCATATCAGTTCTGTTTAGAACCCTATTATATTGAAGAACCATTTTTACGCAGAAATATTTTTTCGTGTTAGAGTTTAGAGATCTTTATTCGCAACTCAGTTCTTCTTCTCCTTAGCCCAGGTAAGACGCCTCTGACGTTGTCTGTGGCTCAGGAGTGGCTTAACAAGAGGAATACGACAACTGTAGCCTTGATGCCTTGACACGTCTGAGTGTGGTGGCTCTTGATGCGTTGACATCAGCCTCAGTCCATTTCTTGTGAAGTTCACTCAAATTCTTGAATCGATTTTGCTTGACAATCCTCATAAGGCTGCGGTTCTCTCGGTTGGTTGTGTATCTTTTTCTTCCACACTTTTTCCTTCCACTCAACTTTCTGTTAACATGCTTGGATACAGCACTCTGTGAACAGCCAGCTTCTTTGGCAATGAATGTTTGTGGCTTACCCTCCTTGTGAAGGGTGTCAATGATTGTCTTCTGGACAACTGTCAGATCAGCAGTCTTCCCCATGATTGTGTAGCCTAGTGAACCAAACTGAGAGACCATTTTGAAGGCTCAGGAAACCTTTGCAGGTGTTTTGAGTTGATTAGCTGATTGGCATGTCACCATATTCTAATTTGTTGAAATAGTGAATTGGTGGGTTTTTGTTAAATGTGAGCCAAAATCATCACAATTAAAAGAACCAAAGACTTAAACTACTTCAGTCTGTGTGCATTGAATTTATTTAATACACGAGTTTCACAATTTGAGTTGAATTACTGAAATAAATTAACTTTTCCACAACATTCTAATTTATTGAGATGCATCTGTTCATGTGGTAATTTTCATTTGAGTGAACTATCCCTTTAACTGTCAAAGCCACAGCATTACTGATTTTCTGGAGATCGGCCATTGCACAGACTGCGCTAACACTCTCAAAAGGTAAAATTATTTATCTCCTAAAATGTCTTAATTTCTTAAAATCATAGCTTTCAAATTGTAAATTTCCTACTAATCAAATCATGTCTTTTTTTTTTTTAGTTTAACAGAACATGTGCTGTTAGTGTGACCAGCTCTGTTCAGTTGAGGATACGTCTCTTCTCCACTGTAAGACTTTGAATTTATGATCCATATTGTTTATTACTTTATGCTAAACTTACCCAGTTACAAAAAAACATCAAAGCTATACAATGACATGACTCTTTTTTTTTTTTTTTAACATTGTAAAATGTTCATATACTGACAATTTTTGCTACACACTGTAACTCACTTTATTTCAGATGCTCTCACAACCTCATCATCTGCAGAGAGAAACTGACACTCAAAATACACACATGGTGGATGTAAAGACATAGAGGACTGTGAAGATATTTCACTGGAACTTGGGCTTCATTATCTATATCATGTTCTGTGCCAATTGCCATTTATGTATTCACCTATCACCTTTATTTTTTCTACAATTTGCATTGTCACAAATAAATAAATAAAAGTACCTAACAGACATAACATGAGAAAAAATATTAACAATAGATAATATAAAAATAATACTAATAATATAAAAATTCCAATTATCTAATTTTCTTTCTAATATTTAAACTATTAATGAAAAGCTCATTAACACTATTAAGGTCCTATACCACTTTCAAAGCATGGTTCTTTATGAAACCTTAAAAATGGTTCTATTTAGCACCAAAAAGTGTTCTGCTATGTTACAAGCTGAAGAACCCTAATTTGGTTAGCATTTTTCATAAGAGTGTTAATATTATTATTGTTATTATTATATTTATTTTTATTGAATGCTACGTAACACAAATAGGTTATAGTTATATGTATTTGTTATTTGTATTCTGCAGCATTCAATAAAAAAATTTATAATAACAATAATGTTAGCCTACCCTTTAAAATCTACAATTCAGCTGTTTGCCAAAGGCAGTATATTGTACATTCTGTAAAAGAAATGTGTCCAGCATGATGCATCATAGCAAAAAAAAAAAAAAAAAACTTTTGCAAAAGGTCATGTGTATTGTTCCAATTGCGCCATATTGCAACCGCTTGGCGGACTTTTTCTGTCACTTCACTTGACGTAAGGAGGCCTGAGTGTGTGTGTGTGTGCTTCAGCGAGCTACAACTGCGGTGAGTATGTTTGATTATGACTTCGGTTAAATGATGTCAGAGTGTTTTAATAAACTGTATATTCCTTAACAGAATAGAACAGAATACAAGTATTTCATAAAAAAAAGTTTCTTTAGCTGTAAGACAGTGGGGACGTTTGCTAATTAACTAAATTATTTGATTGGACATTGGAATATTCGCGAAATTTAAAACAATACACACATCATCGAACCGTTTATATGGCGCGGAGAAACAGTCGGGTCAAGTAGTTAAAAGTTTAAACACAAAACGTAAACGTTTGTTTATCAGTTGAATATTCCTTTATTTTTTATTATTCTCTTAACGATGTTTTTTTTTAAATCGTGAAATTCAACAGCTGCTCGATCGAGTTGATGCCCATTTTCCCCACGCTTTTTTTCTTTTTATAGGCATAATTTAGACAGCTATTTAATTAAAGAGACCCACTTCTAATAAGATAGCCGTAAAATACAGGAAAAATCCATATCAATTTTTTTGCCCGACAAATGTCACACATAGCCGAATAAACACATAAGTGTGCAGTGTGGACTAACAGAATAATAATAATAATAATACATTTCAGAATTAGTAGTAGAGAAGCCCGTTTGCATGGGATTGCATTTTAATAATTTTGTTTCCAAAGCGACGGATGTGTGGATATCACGCGCTGTAATCCCGCGCATTTTTAAACACGAGCTCGTGTCCCCACATTAAACAGTCTGTATTACCCCTATGGTTTTACTACACTGAAGGTGTAGTTGATTAGATTAACCTAAACAGCCTTTTCTACAAGAATTATTGTACATACTTCTCTGTTTTTTGTTGTTGTTGTTTTTTTCCAGATCCTGAATAGCTGGCAGGTGTTCTTCTATATACCATGTAAGTAATTTAAATGTATTATTTTGCAATATCCAAATATAGTTTTGCTGAGGATATTGAAAGCAGATGATGTAAATCATGATGCATCATATCACATTAGAAATGTAGTTGCAAATCTCTGAGTTGTCAAGTGGGCCAAGCAGCACTTTATTGGTTAACTGCTCCATAAAAAAGGAAAATAATAGAGATGCACCAATATTTATAGGCCAATATTTATAGCCAACAGTTAGGGCCGACATATCCTGTCAATCAAAAGAGGGCAGGAAAAAACAATGAATTTGTGCTTTATGTAAAGAAAATGTTAAGAAAACAGTTTGATGTTCAATTAGTAGTAATTATATTAATTAATAAGATTCAGAAACTTTAGAAATATTAATTTATTCTTCAGATTTTAGTTAATGTGACTTGATATTAATTTCAGTAACCTGCTTATGTCTATAACTAATACCAGTTACTCTAAAAATGTATTTGCTATTTGCAAATTCTATTTGCATTTCTTTCAAAATTGTGTAATTAATTATCATTAATTTAAAACATTGGTCTCAATTCCTGGAGGGCCACAGCTCTACCAAAGTCCCTTTCAAGGAAAGTCTGTTCACTCAGCCACCATATTTGCAACACCTATTTCGGGCATCCAAGACCACATTACTAGACACTCGTGAGTGTGCGGGATGCGGGAGAATAAAATGATTCACGGGACTCCCTTAAAATAGAAATATCTAAACATAAAATATCTAAAACAAATAAATTGTTATACATCCATTGCACAAAAGCAACAAGAACTAATATAAACGATTAGCAGGCATAAGCATAGGCTGGGTTTCTATTTAGGCTATAACACGTGTTTTGCAGCCTTGAGCAATGTTGATTTCTGGAACGCAGTGGCCAGTCAGGAGTGCAGTGCTGAAATTTGCGTGCTCACGAATCCTCTCATTATAATAACACAAATTGTAGACATGAAAGATTCATTATGCATATATTCATTGTGTTACAGAGATTTGTGAGATTGCGTAGAACTAATATGTCTTTTAGAGATTATAAATGCAGCATTCTTTGCTGGCATTCTGCCATGCATGCAGCAGCCGCTTGCTTTAGTTTTGTGAATGTTGATGCTTTAATAACAAATATTTATCTGGAGCGTTTATGCTGCGATTTCATAAATTTCATTGATGTAGTCACAGAAAAAAGTAACGTAACTAGTAATGTAACTAATTACTTTTAAAATAAAGTAATCAGAACAGTAACATGATTACTTTTAAAAGGAGTAATCAGTAATTTAATTACATTTTCAGAATAACTTGCCCAACACTGTCCAAGACCAAGTCCTATCTATTTGAATGGGGGAATCGTGAAATCTGAAAAACTGCTTGCTGAAGTCACAATTAAATAACATATTTCAAATCAGCAACAAAATCTGACACGAACTGTCCCATAAAAGTTGTTTCCTATACTCAAATAGCGTTTAAAACGTTTATTTTTCAGGCGGGACTAGCTGATGCGCATGTGCAGTCCTAAGCACGAGTCTCGGGTTTCTATGGGAACCGTAGCTTCTACGGCAGCTGCAGTGACGCGATGACTATAGCAATCAGTGATTGGCTCTTGCATTTAGAAGGCGGGATTATTCCGCCATGTTGCGCGTTGCAGTTTCTCCCATTCATAAGTACAGGAGTGAACCGTCTTTGTATATCTATTGTCTTTGGCTCTGCACAGTTTAGCTCCAACCCTAATTAAACACACCTGATCCAGCTAATCAAGTTCTTTAGGATTACTAGAAACTTCCAAGCAAGTGTGAGTTGGAGCTGGTTGGAGCTAAACTGCGTAGAGCTGCGGCCCTCCAGGAATTGAGTTTGAGACCACTGATTTAAAAGAAAGTATAAAAGGCAAAACCACCAAACTACCGGTGTCGTTAACGGTATCGGCAGATATCACTCTGAATAATCATATATCGTTCTCAGTGGAGAAATTTACTATCGGTACTATCTCTAGAAAATAATCAATACATTAATTTAAATTGTTACATTGGTTTATGGCCCATGTTTGTACAATGCCTCATTGATTATTCATCTTCTCTCATCTTTAGAATTGCTTAATTTTGCCCCCACAGACAGCTATTTGATCTTTATGTTGGCTGAAGCTTTTTAACAGGAAATGTCTGCACAACTGAAACGGTTTATTAAGCAATAAATCCCAGAGGACTGACCTAGGTATCAAAAACATTGTAGACAGATGTCACAATAGTTTTGCAATAAATTGACTTGTATAATACAAGTGCTGTGTTTTTATGTAGTTTAACTTCTATGCATATAAATATGAGGAATTAAAGGCTGAAATTCTAAACTCTCTTGCATTAT